AGTATAATTGTTATGGAACTAGTGGTCCTCTAATTGCCCACACAACCAAGAACCTTGATTTTATCAAAATCGTGAAAATTTCTTCCACAGAAAGTTAGCCTCAGTGCAGTTATGAATGTCTACGTTGAAATGAAAAAAAAAAACTTATTTTGAACATTAGTTAGGTCGTATGTCCAATTAGGGGAGCACTAGTGTCATAGCTGACACACTTACCCTATACGAGGCCAGTTGAGCTGAGATATTTGAACTGTGCAAATCTTCCTCGTTTTGTGCGTATCATATGATAATTAGTCAATGCTTCTTCGTACCCTGATACTTTTTCGGCAGGGCCGATCTGCGCCATCACTTTATTCACGGTTTCATCATTCTTTTCACGGGCGAGAAGCTATTAATTAAATGAATTAATTTTTTTACGTGGCATCATTTAATTTTGTATTCCATCTCAAATTAAAGACGCTTGAGTCGAACTTCAACAAGGAGCTGCGTACTGTTCCGTGCAAACTTTCCCTTGAGAACTAATTATGAAAGTGCTTTTCCGGAAATGTTCTGTGGCAGCACACGGAATTTGACACGGCCTCAATTTCGCTTTCTAACTTTGTGGGCAAGGCATGTGATCAAAAGTTTCCATTGGAAACGAGCCGTCTCCTTTGTACTCGTTTAGCTTAGTTTTGACAAGATGTGGAAGCTGAATTTTATTAAATCAGTCTCTGCCAATACCTATCTTCAAGAAACCGTGGTATATCAATAATATTTCAGTTGTACATTAACGATGAAACCGACTCAAAAGTGCATTGAATATGACTTAATTTGGCTTAAAGTGGATTTACTCAAAAGTTAGTTGAATTTGTAGATAATTTCCAGGAAAAACTTATATAAGGAAAATCAAGAAGGGTTTAACTCAGTCTATTAGTATACTCCAAGACAAAGTAAAATTATCATTGATTTTCATAATATTCGAGAATTTTTTTCCTGGAAATGTTCTAAAAATTTTAATCACTTTGCTTGGGTTCAATTCACTTTTGAGTTTCATCGTCCGTGTACACTGCAGTCGTCTAAAAAGGGAGTTAGCATTATGGAGCTTTTCATTTTACTTTGCACAATACCCAGTCAGATTCTGTCGGCAATTAAATCACAGATTGTTGAAATCGAACGACAAAAGAAACGAGAGATGAAACAAATATCAACTGAATACACGGGATCTCATTTTTCACGTGGCTTTATTTCCAGCAAAACAAGAAACAGTGCCAAGGAAATACCTAACGCGAAAACAGGAGAGAATTGTTTCTAGTATAGATGCAGTGGTGAAAGCGACACCATTCGAAAAGGGAAAGTCGGCTAATGAAATGGTGCTGCGTAATAGGAGACCCATCGAAAATTTACAGCTGGTGATTAATGGTAGATTTGAAATTAATTATCGATCGTAAATGCCCAGACAACGAAGCGGCAAAAAGTGGGATAAGCTCCCATGCAGGTTCATCTTTTGTTTTAATTTGAGGCGTTTCAAATTAACAAAGTCTGTGATCAAGTGCAGAGTGGTAGAAAAGTTCTCACGTGCTTCAAAGGAAAGATTAAAGCCTCAGACCGATGTCGATTTGGCAAGTGTAGATTAAATGCGGGTTCTTAGTTAGTGTTTGGGCTTAGGATTATTTGCAAATGCACAGCAATTATTGGTTAATGCTGAGAGTAGAGAAAACACACACAGTTCCAGTCATCATTAAGACGCTTCCAAAATACAACTGTATATATGAGTATATAGAGTAATGTTTATGATTCTGGTACTTAAGGGCGAATGCCAACCATTAAAATTAAAAAAAAAAAACGATTGCATAAATCTAAAGTGTATATATTTTATTTTATTATCCATTTGATTAGGATTATCTCGAAAACTAATTTTGAAAGTGCAGACACCGACCGATAACGCATATACACTACATTTGATTTGTTCAGTTATTTATGTATATTATTTAGAACTGTTTATTGAAGGCCTTGATATAAAGGCACGACATTACCAAGCAAAAGGCCGCAGGTTTGAATCCCGGTCCGGTCGAGGAAATCTATCGGCTTGGACATTTTCAAGACTTACTTGGGCATAAAATATCATTGTGCTTGCCACACAATATACAGGCTCATGCTGTTGGAAATTAACATTGAAAGCTCTCAATTAATATCTGTGGAAGTGCATTTATAACACATAGTTGAGAGCACGAAATATGCGATAAATCAAATCATATGCTTGAATAAGAACTAACTGAAGTAAACACGTCACAGTTTTTTTTTAGAAAAGTTTGAAAAATTTCCTTAAAATCATTCATAATTTCACTCAGAGCGTGATTCAGAATTCGTTTAAAACATTCTTTGATTGCTCCCTAGAAACTCTACCATTTATATCTTATCCTTTATCCTTAATCCAAGAATTTTCTTTCGATAATTTCTTTTAAATTTTGTGGTATTTCTTTAAAACATTTCTCCGATTATTCGCGGTATACCCTTCAGAAATATCCCAAAATTGTATTGAGAATTGCATTGGAGTTCGGTTCAACATAATCTTATATACATTCTGAAAATTCATATAGAATTCTCGTGTAATTTTCTAGAGAGTTCCTTTCGAACTGTATGCAGAGTTTGTTGATTACTTGGAATGGATCACAAAACTTAAACTTTGACGTAGATAAATATTTAGATATTTTTTTTTCTGAAAACTCTGTAATTTATTGCGTCGTTTTTATAAAATCGCTGGTAGAAGGTCATCCCAAAGTTGCTCAACAATATAATTAATTCGCTTGGAGTTCACTTCTACATTTCCTTGGAATTGTCCTCAGAATTATTTTCCTTCAGTTTCTACTCAAAATTAATCGAAGATAAACTAGTCCGTGACTAAAATGCTTCTAAATAAAGTTTAAAAAATCTTCAAAATTAAATTGGTATTTTCTTCAGAATTTCCTTTAAAATCCATTCAGAATTATTCTATTTTCTCTAAAAAATTTCTTTTGAAGCCTACATCTAAATACTTTTATATATTTTTCAATCTCTCAGAATGACGCAAATTTGTTCAATTGTTTTGCAAAGTCTGACATCTTAATAATTTCTTTCTGTTGCATTGATTCTAAAAATACTTCCAGTTTTTTTTTCCTTGATTTGTTTTCCGTCAATCTTGTTTTTCCGTTCTGAGCACCAATGCTACCCACGCCAGGGAGGCAGCTCCCACTCCTGGTCCATACCTATCAACCCATCAACTCAGGGACCGGGGACCAACGGCTTTACAAGGCGTGATCATAGATGTTATACCTCAGAACATCCCGGCGGCGCCAACTGGGATTGAACCCAGGCCTGCTGGGGTGAAAGGTAATCACGCTTACCACTACACCACCGGTGCCGCTATACTTTCACTTTCTAAACTGTTTTTTTTTCATATCTCAAAATGTTTTCTATATCATGAAACTTGTTAAAAAAAGTCGAAAAATCTTAAGCTTATGTCATTCCAGCTCAAGTGTATACAGAGTTGTGGTCAATGTCACCGATTTCAACCTAACTTTGCCCAGATTCTGATTTAGACATTCTAAAAAAATATCTATTTGGATTTTGCTCTAAAGTGCCCCTCACCATCCTTCTCCAACGTGGGAATTTGGTAAAGAGAGATGATCTACACAGCAAAAAAATAATTTTGATATCACGTCAAAGTGGATGCACTACAATCATGTCGAAAATATGGTGTAATATTACTTGCTAAAAAGGACAAAATTATCATTAATACAATGCATGAACTGACATTACGCTGCTTTTACTGCATTTGTTTATTTATGTGTTCATAAAAATTACATGAAATTTTCGACATGATTGTAGTGCATCCACTTTGATGTGATATCAAAATTATTTTTTTGCTGTGTACCCGATTCGTACAGTTTTCACACTGCCGTACTCTAACAGAACTATCAACTTTCATCTCCTCCATCTATCGTATAAAATAAGTCTGTTATTTGACGTTTAGCATCTTCAACTATAAAAAAAAAAGTTATTTTTCATTCTGCTGGGGTTTTATTGTTTTTAAAGACATTTACCTGAACTTTCCTCCATCTACTGAATTTGTTCCAAAAATTAAATGATTTGGATTTATGTGCTATTTTTTAAGATTTATGAAATTTATTTCATGGAAACTAGTTAACTCTGAAAATTATGAATTGCCGTCGTGTTATGCCACAAAGGGTCAGAAATTATTATGCGATTCAAAGGCTTTATTCTTTTCACTGTTGCAATATAGCACGCAAACGGATGAACATTTGCCTGATTATTGTTGTAAATAACACTTTGAACGCTGCCTTTATAGAAGAAAGTGTAGAGCCCTTTATTCACTAATATCATTACCATAATAAAGAAAAGATTAAACTAAAAATAAAGTGAAAGCACGCGAAAAACAGAGTTTCCGTGGTTTTCATACGATTTGAGCGTTAATTTCACTAGATAATACGGATACGAACAACTTTATACAAAATATGGATCCCTAGTAATAGGAGCGAATAAGTTGTTTCCTAAATAAAGTAATAAATTTGATGTGCTGAACTAAAATGTTGTGTTTTGTGAAATTTTATAATTAAATTATTTATCATTTATATGTGAGAGTAAGCTGTCACATATTAGGTTCTGGGTCATTTCGCCGAAGGACATACTACCACAATAAAAATTCGTTTAAAAAATGAGCAATTCTTTAAACATTTAAAATTATTGAAAATTAACTTGTGAATCGGGGTTGATGATGAACATGATCAATATCGGTACGATTATGCTAAAAGTATTTAGTTTTCAATTAAATTTATTTAAATATGACCGCATCTTCAGAAAATCGGAATCACTGTGCGTTAACAAGTTCCTGGGAGTACAATTAGGTCGGCTTTTCGGCAGAGATTTAGGTTTCAGCTGAAAGCCCGGCGTTGTTGTAGGAAATATATCCAATGACAGTTCGGTATTATGGTATTTGCAGAATTACAGCACCTGGCGAAATTTCATACCTGTCCACGGTGAGGATGTGGTCGTCTCTCACTCGAACCCATGACACCGACTTGTTCCCCAGCTGTTTCACCTGTGGACAATAATGAGAGAAAATCAGGTGGTGAAAAGAGCGGGCAGTGAGTTGGTCCGTTCCGGGTAACTGGATTTTCTGTCATGCGCACTTTGAGCTGAATCTCGGATTTTCGAGAACATCCCGGCAGAGCATAAAAAAGTGAAAAAATCACATCCATTTGACACGATTTGCTTACCTTGCACGGCAGATATGCATGTGTTCCTATCTGTGTGGTAACGTTGCTAACTCCACTTCCGTCTAAATATGGTCCAGCGAAAAATGTTCCACCAGAATTGAGCTTGTTTAGCGCTAAGGACGTACTGATGTCGCCTGTGACGTAATCTGTAATTAGCAAAGCAGGACGAAGAAAAAGAAACTTTGTAGATTTCGTTAATGAATTCGTTGTACCTAATGAGAACATTTCCGTTCGGTGGAATAGAGGCTTTCGCTGTTGTGTTGCATGAAGTTAGATATTTAAATTTTAGGAATGGCGAGAGATTACACGGTTCGTACCATCATGTCAAGACAGTGGAAGCGTCGGCAGAATGATAATGGAGTCAATAAAATAGATTTACAACTACGAGTAATTGAATGCATTGATGTAATTAAATTTCAACCACTTTATAAAAGATGCTCATCGATACAGCTCCAGTGATGAGTGAATTTTGAGTTCATGGATGGTAAAGAATTGTAATCGAAATTGAATTTACTTCTTTAAAGAAAATATAGGATAGGTCAAATACCAACATTTACAATATGTGAAACATCTAACATTCTGAAACACCTGCATAAAGACGAGAAATTATTCTTGCTGATGTCATTGTATGGCCGAGAATTTATTTATGAAACATTTGCTATTGAAGTTTTGTTGAAGCGTTTTGCATTTTTATTTCTTGTTTTATTATTTTTTTTGTTCAATTTGTTTATTTAGTAGTCTCTATATCCTCTACGGAACTGAGAGACTATATATCAATGATTCACAATTCATTCAGATGTTGTGTTGGATTAGTTACAGACGGAAAAGTTGCGTTATGAGTTCTAGATCAGTTTCTTGTAACGATGAGATAAACGTTGATTTTATTTTTGGCCTGCTCCATTTTATCTGCAAATCGTTTCTGACGAATTTGATACCGATTCAGTTAGAATACTTCTGTTTCTTTTTAACTCTGTTTATTATTTAGCGTTTGCTTTCAGTCGTCTTCATATGTTCTTGTTACTACAGTATCTTTCGTTTGCATTATATCTTGCTGAATTAGGAAGGGTAAAATTATAAAATATACCGCTTCACGTTCAAAATTCGTGAATTTGACGAGCAGCCTTTTAAGCTCAGTATTTCGGCAAATGGATAAACATAGATTTTTCCTTTGGCTTCAATTTTATTAAAACACGTTTAGTACGAACAGAGCTACAACAGTTTATTTTTTTTCTATCATAAATGGTTGTTTGTTGATATTAATATTGCTGACAAATTCTAATTTTACATTTGTTGTGGCTAAATGTTAGAAGATTCCACCAGTTAAAACAGAAGATGTAAAGAGATTACGAGTGAATAAAAAAAAGTATTGTTTGTTGGAGGCAATAAAGTTTCCACTGCCTTATAGAGGGTCTAAGAGCAAAATTAAATTTCGACCACCCTAGGCAGTAGTACGCTGGTCGAAATTTTATTTTGCTTTTCAACATCAACATCAACATAAACCAGAGCAAGGTAGGGCTAAAGTTCGTTTTGAGGTTTTCGAAGCCAGTGCAACATAACACTAAAATAGGTTCATGTTTGAAAGAAAGCAAAATCTCTTAAAATTTTTAAAATATTTTTTTCTAATGAAAATTTAGCACAAGCTGTGTTTACTGTAAAAAAAAACAATAAGAACATTAAAGCTACAAAGAACTGCTCATGTTTGAAAGAAGGAAAAATCTCCAAATTTGTTCAAATTCAGTGTTGTCTTAATTTTATGAAAAGATGCGTTTACTGTGCACAAAATATTAAGATCTTAACCCTGGGGTGACCCCGGTGTTGTGGTTAGCATCCATACCTTTCACGCCAAAGTTACGAGTTCAAATCCCAAATTTATAATGTCAAAAAACCAGAATTGTGGAAAGTAATAAATAAAATCCACAGGGTTGCCATTTATTAATAGGCAGCACAATTAATCATCATTTAAAAAAGCGAAATGAGCAATAAAAAAATCTGAAATTGGCCACTAAATACTACAGGGGTGCACCAATAAACAAAAAAAAAAAGTTGCAATAGAAATGAAGAAAAAGCCACTAAACAAATAAAAAGCTTCTTTTAATAATTTGAATGTCAGCGATGAAAATGGCGAAAAGGGCAACAGTTAAAAGAATACGCTCAATTAATTAAGGATCAATCTCCACTAAATTAGGAAATTTGAGCACTAAATAACTCACCTACGTCACCTGCAGTTGAACATATTTTCCCATAAAAGTGGCAAAATGAGCAATGTCATATTAAATAACCGCGATAAATAAATCTAAAATGTCCCACACAAAGTTCACACTTATCACTGTTTAAATCCAAATATGCTGTGAAATCGTGATTATTTCCCCAAAAATAAAATGAAAATATCTTTTTCAAAACTGAAAAAGTTCCAGAAACCAGGAGATAAATGTATGCTTGAACATGAGGATGAGCCATCGTAAAATATGAATCGTTCTTAAAGAAAAGAAAATAATTCATGAGCAATTAAAAACGAACACTGCAAAATTTAAAATAAAAAAAATTCCAATGATATTCAGGATATATTCCTTTAAATTGAAAGTTTGTGAGCCAATAACCCAGATCAATTTCCATATGGTATTTTCAAGACAGCAATAAGTAATGATACTGTGTCTCGGCTAACAAAGGCGATGTCGATAAAGAAGATTAACGAATGTGGGTCCCATTGAAAAAGGTACCATTAAACAAAATCAAAAGAGCACTAAAAACAGATGTTTGAGCAATCTATACGTCACAAAAGAGCACTAGAAAATGCCGTTTGAGCAATATAAAGGTAAAAAAAGACACAAAAAGCATAATGAATGTCCCAGGTAAAATTTCAAAAACGCTCAACAAAAAATAGGAAATGAGCAAGAAACGTATAATATTAGCAATTTGAAAAATAAATTGAACATTTTATAGGCCATGAAGGTCACTAAGAACGAAAACAATATTTTTTTTTTCGTTTTAAAAAATAGGGATTAAAAATGATTCCTTCCAAATTGGAGGCAGCATGCTGGCGTTTAACGATGAATTAAACAACCCAAATAAAGGCTTTACTAATTCTTTTGAAAGTGTTTTTAGAAGAATAGGTGGTAAACCATCTGGACCTGCGCTTTTTGACGTATCCAATTACTCAAGAGCATGCAAGATTTCTTTGAGGGATAAATTGTTAACTTTAATATCCGTCATTGGCTCCGGGAGATATGAAAAATATTGAAGATCACGATCATTCTCGTCATGCGTTGTGTAAATGTTCTGAAAAAAGTCAGCAAATAAATTACTGATCTCACTAGATGTGTTGCCGGTTCTGTTATCTAACTGTATTTTAGAAGGAAAGTTCTTTGATTTTTGATTTTTTTTTTCATAGCATGATAGCATGAGGTTTTCTTCTGTCGTCCAAATCGTCAAATGCAACAATGAATGTTGTTACAGCTGAGTTATTAACGAAAGTCGATGAAGAGAATCAATCAAAGCAGATAGGCTCTTTTTCCAGGTCTTTATAGATTTATTCTGGATCAGTGTTTGACGTGATTACTTATTTCGCTTGACGTTTTGTCGCTGAATTCGAATTCGATATCAGATTTCGTTAAAATGAACGATTTAGAATCATACAAATCGACAGTGAGCACGCATAAGTAAGGACACGCATTGCTACAGCTAAGCTAAACAATTTTCTAGATTTTGTTGAATGCAGTGCTATACAGATTGTATTGAGTATCAAAAGCACCAGAAAACACACCGAGAAACATTAATCCAAGCGAGTTATTAACAAAAGAGAAAATCGACGAAGAGAATCGATCATCGCGTTTACGCCCCTATGCATGCTCACTATTGATATGATTTTGTGTTAGAGCCTGATATTTCCTACATTTAGGCGTATTTTTAACAACTTTGCTTTAAAATATGTAGTTTTTTTTGTAAACCACAGCTTTTGTTGAAATGATGAAACTAGATTTTCAATATTTTCACCCCAGAATTGAAAATTTTCATTTTTAATCTAATTTTATTTTTTAAATATACCATACATGCAATATATTTATTTGCTTATTTTCTTTGTACAGTCAACAGTACCCCAATGTCTTCACACTTAGAAAAAAATCATGTAAATTTAGGTGCTCTGAGACTGACATATACGAGTGTCAATTTTGACATAAAATTGAGCCATAACAGACGCGTAATTCAACTCAATCAAACGTATTTTTCGTCGAGTAACGAACTTTTCAGTCTCGGAGCACTTAATTTTACATGACATGTTTGTTTACGTCTCATCTTTTATGTCAAAGATGGATTCCGTCACGTGTAAAATTAGTTATTTCTAAGAGTGTAGCTTAAATTAAGTAACATGTAAAAATAACATCAAACAGATACGGCTCTCACAAAATTATTTTTATCATACGCCTAGACAAGTTAAAATCGAAACACGTGAACCAATTCTAGATAGAGATGTAATTAGGGCGTAACAGCTTTTGTAAACAATGACTTCTCTCGATGATTTCTTGGAAGACATGGCTCTCCCTGGCAAATCAACATCACCATCGAGTAGAGGAAGACTTCTCCTACCCGATGGATATATTGGTTTGTGTAGGCGTGCCTTGAATTCCGAGAAATCAACGAGAGAAGTCGTTGTTTACAAAGCCTGTTACGCCCTAATTCCAGCTCTATCTAGAATTGTCAAAAACACGACACACACTCTTCATGGGTTCGTGTATTCCGTAAATGATTAATTTTCTAGCTATATTGAGAAACGTATGGGAACGAAAGACACGTGTGCGGATGTTCACGTTCGGTTGACTAAGAAGCTCTGGGCAATCGATGTACAATGTTAGTAGGTCGCTGACAAAAGAAGCATTGGCTACATCTCTCCTAATATTGAATGAATCAAGATTATTCAACCCAGTCCGCATCGTGCTCTCTTGCCGTGCGGATCTATTTGCTTTTTGCTTAAGGAAGTGTTACTACTACCTAAAGCTACAACAAATTTAAACAGCACTTTTCAGTGCTCAACCTGTAAAAATTTTCTACCTTGTTCAACTCCTCTTATTCCTCTTCGATCCTTGTTTGGACCCTACCCGAGGTAATCCTTCTTGGATATCGATTTGGAAAATTCCTCTTCGATCCTTCAGAT